AATCTCAGATGGATCTTCAGAGATAATGAAAGAAATTTAGCAGGCACTTAGGGGGAAAGGCAAAAATAGCACTTGCAAAGACTCTGCAACTTTAAAAACAGCTTGCACGTGTTCAGGGAACAGGAGAAGGATCTGGGGGCTGTGGAGCAGGGTGTGTAATGAGAGCAACCAGGAGCACCAGGAAACCAACCTGAAAAAGGGGTAGGGCCAGAATGCAGGAGTTTACACCTTACCCTATGGGCAATGGAGGACTAGAGATTGTGAGCAGGGGTCGATCACTGTGATCGTCTCCACCAGCAGAGGGGAGAACGCAATGCCAGGGTAAGAAGGATGCCAGGAAGACTGGCTGGGATAAACAGTTCAGTGAGTGATAGTGAAGACTGAACTAAGGTATGGAAGCTGGGGAGGGAAGGAATAGATTCCAGAGAACGTCTTCAGGTAAATACCACAGGCTCAGCTACTCTCTGGGTTCGTAGGGGTATGGCAATACTACAGGGCAAGAAGCGGGGAGGGGTGGGGAAGGGAAAGGAAGGAGTTGAGTTGCCAGCTTGGGTGACTGGGGAACAAAGCCATCAGTGAACATAATAAATGATCATAAAACAAGAGGAACAGTGTTTTCGGGAGTGGGTGTGTGAAGGCCGAGAGAGGATCTGAGAACACACTGGGTCAGCCTGGAGATACACGCAGAACATATCTGGCTGGAATGGTTGACTATGTCCAGGTGACAGCTGAATACTGGTTTGAAGCTCAGAAGAAAGGTGAGGGCTAGAGTTCTAGATGTGGGATCGTTGTTAGGTGAATGCTATCCTGAAACTATGTATATGGAAGATATTACTCAAGGACAGAACTCCATGACACCACTAAATATATGAGATAAATTTCTTTTCCTGAGACAATGCTCTTGTTCCACAGCAAAGTTCTATCAGGTCCACCTAGTGGTTTTGAGAATTCCCAAAGTTAGAGTCAAGCTGGAGCCTACCCTCTCTGGGAAGTGGCAAAGCCATCAATGTCTGTGCAGGACACTTCATATAACTTTACTCACACCCAAAGCAAGTATGGACCACTGTTTTCTCCTTCTGCAAGAGAAACACTTTAAATCTTTGGAAAGCAGCCACAGCACTGAGATTATCTTTTAACTGCAAAGAGGCAACATATGAAAGTGACATAGTGTGATTTGGAAACTCATGAAGACCTAAGCAGAGGTGCCCAACACCGTGGGCCACATGTGGCTATGAATGGAGCCCAGTACAAAGTCGTAAATTTATTTAAAACCTTTTTTTTGCCCTGGCTGGTGTGACTCAGTGGATTGAGCGCCAGCCTGGGAACCAAAGGGTCACAGGTTCAATTCCCAGTCAGGGCACATGCCCGGGTAGCACGTCAAGTCCCCAGTAGGGGGTGCACAAGGGGCAACCACACATTGATGTTTCTCTCTCTTTCTCCCTCCCTTCCCCTCTCTCTAAAAACAAATAAAATCTTTTAAAAAAAGAAAACAAACCTTTTTTTTGTTCATCAGTTTTCATTAGTGTTTGTGTATTTAATGCATGGCGCAAGACAACTCTTCTTTTTCCAGTATGGCTCAGAGATGCCGAAAGGTTGAACACCCCTGAAAGGCTTCCTCTGTTCAGCACCACCAGCTGGCGCACTGCGCCGCGGCCCCCCCCCCCCCCCCGTGAAATCAATGCTGGCCACAGGGCTAAGCAGGCAGAAATGCTGAGGAGGAAAGCAACACTGCTTAAAAACCTGGGTAAAAAAAGCAACCTGGGTAACCTGCTTGGTAGCAGACTGCTGAAAAATCAAATGAACAATACAACACCTACCATTTTAGCCCTCTAACTCCTCATTACCTGATAAGACTGAGAAATTTTTAGGCGCAGGCACGCTGGCATCAGTCCAAAGCAGGACCTGCATCCCCAGAGAGTATAGGGCAGATGTACATCATTAATAGAGGGTTTAGGGAGTGCCAGTGGTGGTTGTGAAATCAGCAACACTTGGCTTGCAGTTTCCTGCTTCCTCCTAGAAGTCTGGTAAAACTTCTGTTGCACTCTTGTGACAACTTTCCTTTCACAGCTCTTACTTTGCAGGAGGTTTTCTAATCCCAATTATAACTGTATGCAAGGAACAGGTCATTAAAGCCCATGCCCACAGTGTGGGGCAGGAGTGGCTATGGGGAGTGGGTAAGGAAGTCAACTTAAAAGTGCACTGAGAGTTTCATGGGATATTACTACAGTTAGCAGAAAAAGGATTGCATGGTTTAATAACTCTGAGAAATGCTGGGTCAAATAAAGTTGAGTAAATGTCTACTGTAAGATTTTTCAGAGCCTTTAACAAATTAACAAGCTGTATCAATCTTCAAGACAAATGGAGTAATTAGTGATTCTCAAACTTATTTGACCACAGAACTCTGAGCACCTTTCAGGACTGGTATTATTCAGAACACACACCGCTTTAAAGTGCTGTCTTAAAAAGCATAATACCACCTGTATTATTCCAACTCCACACACTGGGGATAAAATAGTTTAGCTAATACTAATCTGTTACTCTCACCCCACCAGTACTCTCCTTTTAAGAATGGTGGCAGTAGTGATGATGTAACATTGTTTCCTTAGCTGGCCTAAATAGCCCCAAAGCAGAGCTTCAAAAATCTTTTAAACAGCACTATTCTAATAATCAGACCCAGGTTTGGGCCTTTCCTGCTGCAAATTAGCCAGTGACTCTGGCATGTTACATCCTCACTGGGTTCTTGGTTTTCTCATCTCTAAACTGAAGGGGTTAGAATAAATTTCTGAGGATATTCCCAGATCTAGTAGCCCACCATGGACTCTGAACACTAAGTTTATTTTCATAACCCACCACTGAGTGATGGAAAAAAGGACTGTTCTGAGGGCTGGCTAAGTGTGACAGTTTCTGAGCCTATCACCTCTCTTCTGAGCTCTGTGCCAACACCCTGGGTAAATGAAGCTGGGCTCACACCCAGTCACCCATAGGCTGCACCCTCCCAATGTTCCAGCCCTGGCAGTCGGAACCAGATACTACCATCACAAGGAGAGGAAGGGCAGCTCTCCAGGAGCTCAGGGGCGTCACTTCCCAAGTTCCTTCTTCCCACAAACTGTGTGCCAAGAGGAAAAACCCAGCCCAGAATGAGAAGAGTAGCAGTCAGCCAGCTCTCTTTTTTCCTACACAGGATTCCCCACCAGATGTTGCTCTTCACGGGCCCACAGCTGCTTCCTGTCCTGCCACATCCTGGGATTGCCTGATGGACAGACTGTCTTGCTTGAATGCAGAAGTTTCTTACCAAAGTTTGCACAATCATTTCTGGGGCTGGAGATGCAGTTTAAGACTTTCAAGCTACTATTAATACAGGGCTGAGCTCAGGCCAACTATCTTGCACACTGCTAGCACTGGGGACAAGTTCTCTGCATCTTTGAACAGCTGATTGCTTCTGTCAGATAGCAGCAGACATTTTATTCCTGATTCTGACAGGAAAAAAAAAAAGCAAATGATTGCACGGCACACACCAAAAGGCTACCAGATCCTTACTAAAACTCAAACTCCATTATTATATAGCTAAACAGTTATCAGAAGACACTACTAGATATTATACAGAAAATACTGACAATATTATACAGCGAAACAGTTACCAGAAGACACTGGCAGTTAAAATGCAAATATTCCTTCTTCACTCAACTAATAGAGATGACTGAATTACATTGAAAAAGAAAGAAAGAAAGAAAAAAAAAGGTCCTTGCAAAGGTCAAGAAGCTACAAGATACATTAAGATACAAGAATTCCCTGATGTTACAAAGAATGAGCTGCCAAAATTTGCCTTGAGGGCTCCCATTGGCTAAGCCACCTTGAGACCAAGAAAGAAGCATAAAATTTTCACTCTCCTGACAGCATGGAGTAATTCTTTTCTAGTTTCATTTGCCTTGGCTTTGACCCTTGAGAGGATTCTAGGAGGGAAAGCTCATGCTGTGAGTTGCGGGGAAGGACCCTTCCAAGGACGTCCCCACCACATGCAGGAAACTTTAAAGGTGCCAATGACTGAAGTCCAAGCAGGATGAGTTGGTGACATCCTGACAGCAGAAACCTTGGGGCTCATAAATCACAAATCAGCAGAACTGGTTTTGAGCATACATGAAATAAGAGGCATAGCATCTTGGGCCCTAACACGAGTCCCAGTTGTTCATCACAGAAAAGGAATACCCCTGTGCCCTTAGGTCAAAGGCAGAAAGGTTTTGGCTTTAAGAAGGAAAACTTTTGATCATTTGTTCAAAAGGTGAAGCCAGCTCATAGGTCAGCGCATCGCAACTACCCTGCCACCACATACAGGTCCATCAGGTCAACATTCCTTGTGTTTCAAGACCCTCAGAACTTCCTCGCTTTCCCCTCTCTAACCCGGGCCCTCCTATCTAGTCAACCTAGTCCATAGTAGACCCACAAACGAAGTGTGGAATTCTTATCAAGGCCATATTTCAGCTTCTCACCCACTCCCCAGTCTTCCTTTCCTGACAAATCTTGGGGCCCCTCCTATACCTTATACGCTAGTTTGGTTGCTGGGGGAAGCGGAACTGGATTGTCTTGGGAATTCCACAGTTCTCCGTCCCATTATGTTGCCGTCACCCTCTTCCTAACGAGACTCAAGTCAAGACTGCAGCGTTGTGGTAGCCATACTTCCCCCTCAGGTGAAGTCACGTCTGTCCCTGACGCTGGGGGAATCCTCAGTCGGCTCCAGCCCCCTTCCCCAACAATACCCGGTAAAAAGGGACTCGTCTGCTAAACTAGAGGGTCCCCCTCTTCCCAGACTACAGCGCCAAGCCCCTTTGGCCGGGCTACCTCCTGCTAGTCCCGCCTCTAAGACGCTATGATAGGCCAGCCCTCAGAGCCAGCTCTCCCATTGGGCAGCCAGCCCGTCCCTCCTACGCCACGTCTCCCGGCTCTCGCGAAAAAGGCCCCGGTGGCGGCCTTTGGTAATAGAGAATGCTGTGAGCTGAAACCTCTACCTGGAAGGGGTTTACGTCCATTGGGTCCGCGAAGGGGTTGGTCTCGAAGGCCGACATAGCGGTCGGGGGCCGATAAGCGAGCTCCGCGAGCGCCTCTGCCTTCGGGCACCGAGACCCAGCGGCTGTCCGGGTACACCCTCCGCTTCCGGGAGTGAGCCGCCGTACTGGCGCAGGCGCCGTGCCTTTCCCTAGAGGCGTGATCCCGCTCGTCACAGAGGTCCGCCACGCCCCCCTCACCACTATGTTGCAACCTCCCGAACGTGCTCAGCTTTCTTTCTCCTTCCTTGTACCTGTGCTTCTGAGGGTCTGGGCGGTATGAATGAATTGGGCAAGGGTGTCCAACCTGCAACCTTTGGGCTGCATGCAGCCCAGTATGGCCGTGAATGCGGCCCAACACAAAAGCGTAAATTTACTTAAAACACTACGAGTTGTTTTTTTTTTGTGATTACATGTCGCAGTGTATTTTATATTTGGCCCAAGACACTTCCTCTTCCAGTGTAGCGCAGAGACGCCAAAAGGTTGGACACCCCTGGTAGAGAGTCAGAGGTATAGTCGGATCGCGTCCCACTGCCTCTTGATCTGACAACATCCAAATTTGTGTTAGAAGCTTCCCAAAGAAAATTTTCCAAGAAAACTCCCCAAAGAGGAGCCGGAAAGTTAACCCTTCACTTTTCTGAAGGGAAGCACTAGTGCAGTCAGGGGGCAGGAGTGTGAGCCTACCTCTGCACACGAGTGTTCTGGTGGTAGGGGCCGAGCAGAGGAGTTTTCTATTGAAGAACCAACCGTGCAGCTGTCCCCAGACTGGCTGAGCGCTGCTCCTTTTAGGCCTTGCCCCCTGATGCCCAGACAAGTTTAGGGCCTAAGCTGGGATTTGAACCTGAGTATCGAGCATGTATTAAAAGGATGAAGGAGTTTAGCAATACAGCCATCAGCCACGGAGGAGATGGCTGCACTCTCCACAAACTATTCATTGAAACACCCTATTCATTCACCTCTCTAGCTTTGTTCGTCACTACTACCACCAAATCCAGCCATTCCTTACCCTGGATTAGTACAGGGGTGCTAATTGGCCTATTGTTCATGTTGTAACCAGAGATCTATTTAAAGGGGTCAAAATTATCATGGAACTCTATGTTTAAAATCATTCAATTATTTTTCAGAAAGGTCCGGATTCTTTGTTTGGCTTCTTGGTCCTGCAGTATGTGCCCCCACCTATCCTTCCCACACCTTCTTTTGCCCACCCCCATGCATTCCAGCCCTCCTAGTGGCTTTTCAGTTCCTCAACCTTTCTTTGTTCCCTCCTGCCTCAGGGCCTTTGCACCTGACACTCCTTTTTCCTGGTATACTCTTAGCCCCTGCCTTCATCATTACCTAGTTAACTCCTAGTATCCTTCAAATACAAGCTCAGATGCCCCTTAGGAGTGGCCTCTCTTCACGCTGTAGGCTAGATCAGCCCCCTAACCAACATATAACTTATGACCCTGTACTTTTCCTTTGTAATACTTATTGCAGATTGTAAGTACACACATGTATAGCTGGTTATTTACTTATGTCTGTCTCTCCTACTAGACTGTAAGCTCCACAAAGGCAGGAGTGGGGTCTATTTTACTCACTACTGTATTTCTGGCACTAACATGTTACCAGTGCATTATAAGCATTTAGTAAATATTACTTCCCTTATCCACTTCTCTTACCTTCTTCTCCCCTGTCTAAATCCCAACCATCCTTTAAGGTCCAGCTCAACTTTTCTCCAGGATATGTCCTCAAGTGGAAGAATGTGAAGGGATCCATGTTTGTGTCCAGTCCCCTTAGAAACTACCTACCTCTAACCCCTCACAGCCACCCCTCCAAGGGCAGTGTAAGGAAAGACTTGTATTTCTCCTTTACTACTGACACAGAATACTTCTGTGACCCGACACAGGTTTGGTTTGGTTTTTGCCAAACTAACCAATTCTCTGACACCAGCTGGGTGTTATTCAATTGAGTTCTGACACTACCCGGAATTAGTATCAGTTCCCACAAGTTAATGGCTCACTCCCACATGATGGCCCCCACTTCAGATGGCAATCACGAGTGTCAGATTCAGACTGTAATTTTTACTTCTATAAATCAGAGTTCTTACAATCCCCTCGTCAGGTTCCATAATTTGCCAGAATGGCTTCCAGAACTCAGGGAAACACATTTACTGGTTTCTAAATATTTTTTTAAAAGATTTTATTTATTTTTAGAGAGAGGGGAAGAGAGGGAGAACGAGAGGGAAATATCAATGTGTAGTTGCCTCTTGTGCACTCCCTACTGAGGACCTGGCCTGCAACCCAGGCATGTGCCCTGACTGGGAATTGAACCAGCAACCCTTTGGTTCCCAGGCTGGAGCTCAATCCACTGAGCCACACCAGCCAGGGCTGTTTAGTGATTTCATATATAAGATATGATAAAGGATACAGGTGAAGAGCTAGTTAAAGAGATACATAGGGTGGGGTCTGCATCCTGAGTGCAGGAGCTTCTGTGCTGTGGAATTCAGGTGCAACACCCTTTGGCACATGGAAGTATTCACCAACCTGGAAGCATGCATGATCATGATTGCTAGTTATCTCAATCCTTCCCCTCATCCCTCCCTGGAGGATGGAAGGTGGGACTGAAAGTTACAAGCTTCCAGTCAACGCTTGGTCTTTCTGGTGACCAGCCACAGCTTGAGGCTATCCAGGAGCCCACCAAGAGTTGCCTCATTAGGACAGAAAGTGCTCTGATAACCCAGGAAATTCCAAGGAATTTAGGAGGTCTGCCTCAGAAACCATATTCAAAGACTAAATATTAGAACAAAAGATGCCCCTAGTACATTTATTACTTAGGAAATTACAAAGGTTTTAGGAGTTCTGGTCAGGAGCTGGTTATTATATTACAATATCACAGGCAGCATACAGAGATCTTTGCGGTCTGCAGCCTGAGAACACAGTCTATGCAACATGAAGCTGTCCTGCCTCCTCCTTGTATGCCCAACCTAGTATAATGGTGGACTGGTAAAGAAAGACTGGAACTTGTTATTACCAATGTAGAGCTGACCCACCCATCTTTCTCCAAAGACTCCTGGGATCTGTTTACTTCCCTGTGAAAGAGACATCATGCATTTATTTACTCATTCACATATTCAATAGGGGAGGAAGTAGAGCAGACTGGAACTCTATGCTCTTGTACCACTTACTTCATCTTTCCAAGACCCATTTTTCTCATCCTTAAAGAGGAGCTTGTGACAGTACCTATCCCACAGGGTCGTCTTGAAAATGAAGCGAGAGAAGTCTTGAAAGGGGCTTAGCACAGGATTTAGTAAAAAAACAAACAAGTGTTAGTTGCTGCAATAGCTTGAGCCCTCAGCTGGGCACTGGTAGAAATGTAATGCTGAATTAGACACATAGTTTAGTAGAGAAGAGAGAGAGGAAAGCAGGTCCTGACTGGATCATAAAGTATGATCAGTACTGCTAGAGGCAGACAAGCAAGAGGTAAGCGTGAAAAGTTCTAGGTTCTCTAAACACCCTAGTTTTCCTTAAAGATACATTTTTCTGTTGGTGGAGAAGGTGGAATGGGGTGGAGGCTTTGTCCTATCAATCTATGTTCTTCCCTCCCTGTGCAGAGATACTCGGAGGAAGTAACTGTAACTGGCTTCAGTGGTAGTCGTAGTGGGAGGTGTTCTAAGAACACCCTATGCCTAAACTAACCCCTTGCTCTTCTAAAAGGTTCATGTAGCTGGGGGAGTGGGGATAAGGGAAAGGAGAGATATTAAAAGGTAGGCGGTATATGAGGCATGCTGTTTGTATGATTCTTGTGTTTTCCATTTTATTATTCCTTAGGGTATGGTAAAGCTTCCTTTGAAATGCAGGCTAATTTATTTGAGCCAGGGGACCCCAGGAGAGGTTCATGTTCACAGCTGGACATAACAGAGAAAACAGTAACCCCTCTTTTCCTGGTCATGTGTGGTAGAAGCTGTGGGAATCAGTGTGGTTAAAGGAGATGGGGACGCAGAGTCAGGACTCTGTAGCCCCTTACTCCAGCTTCCCGGGAGCTTTGGCAGCTGTGTTTTTGGGCCCCTCCAGCTGGCTGCCCTCCTCCTGGGCTATTAACTGAGGTCCAGATGTCATAGCCTTTCTCCACAGGATATAGCAAGATTATTCCACATCCAAGGCCCAGCCCAGCCTTTGCCATGCAGGGCTCCTGGTGACTCCTTGACTTTTGTGCTTTGTGAGCAGCTCAGCCTGGATAAGGGGTCGGGGTTCTGGGTCCTGCAGTACTTAGTGCAGGGAAGATGAGAGGAGCACCCAAGTGCTGACCGCCTTCCTGCTGTCATCTGACCTCCAATAAGCCTACCAGGGCAGCTTTATTATCCCATTTTACAGGTGAAGAAAGTGAAGCTCAGAGGGTCTTGCAGGTGACATTTGCCATCATGATCAAGCATCAGTGAAGCCCTGCTTAGATCACAGCAATTCTTTGTTTAAACCAGCTAATGAGTGTAAAACTCGGAGTAAAACCCGAAGTCTTCACAATGGCTTCCAAAGTTACGCTCACTGCCTTTCCTCTCTGGCCACGCTCGTCTTGCTCGTTCAGCTCCAGCCACACTGGCTTCTTTGCTATTTACTCGAGCATATGACAGGGACATTCCCATGTTCCAACCTTATGGGCTTCCTTCTAGCTTTTTCTTTTGCCCAGAATACTCCTTTTCACCTCCAAGTCTGTGCTTAACTGTCAGCGTTTCAAATGAGGCTTGCCTACACATTTTAAATTCTGCAAACTGCCACCCACCTCCTTTCCCTAGCACTACTTTTCCAACGTACTATAAGATTGATTTATTATACTTGTTTTCTTATCTTCCCTTCACCAGAATGTAAGCTGTACAAAGGCAAAGGAATAGGTATCTTATTCAATATCTCTTTCGCCCTTAGAACCACCCGTGGCATTTGGCAGGTTCTCAATAAATGTCCGGTGAGGAAACAAGTGAAAGAATGCTGAGATCTAAGATTGTAGGCTGGAATCCTCTGAGCTGGTGGAGGCTTTTCCAAGTTGCTGGAGGGCGGAGGGGCCACAGGGCCTCCCGGGTCTCTCAGGCCGCGGGGAATAAGCTTAAGGAACTACGTTTCCCATGAAGCTCTGGGTGCAGAGGGACCGCGGGTGCTGCCGGGAAGGGTAACGTGCGAGAAGCCACGTCCAGTGCTGCAAGGATGACCGCTCAGCGAGGTGAGCTCTGCGTCGGAGTGCAGTCGATCGAGGGGGTGGATTGCGTCTTGGGGTCCCTTTCCGACTTGATACGCTAGGTCGAACGCACCCTTGGGACTTCTCGGAGATGGACAGGCCTCGGGCAGATGAGGGACACCAGCGATGGGGCTGAGTCGTTATTGCTGCCCTCGAGGAAGGTCTTGAGCGGGGGGCTGGCTGCCGAGGATCGAGTGCGGTGGAAAAGTTTCTTTCCGCTCCCTTCCCCTCACCTCAGCGCAACTATCTGCCTCACATCTGCAGAAGATCCTCACTGGCCGTTTTATAGGTGGGAACATTGAGGCCTGCGGAGGACAAGGGTCTCAACTAACAACTTACAAACCCCTTATTTGACTTATTCCCCCAGACAAAACCCTGAGTTGTCAAGTTTCCCCGGGACAGTAGAGTCAGGCCTCGGGTGGAGTGGAAGCTGACCCTTTTTCTGTGCCCCCAGTATTCCCACTTTCCTGCGTGGTGCAGCAGTATGCCTGGGGGAAGATGGGTTCCAACAGTGAAGTGGCTCGGCTGCTGGCCAGCAGTGACCCACTGGCCCGAATCTCAGAGGATAAGCCATATGCAGAGGTGAGAGCTGGGCTGTGTTTCAGCCCACGTGACCGCAGGTGAGACCAAGGCACTCCTCCACACATAGGGCCTGAGGCAAGTCAGTGGATCACCAGGGAGGGGGAGGAAATAGAGGAGGAGGAGGAGGCCCTTTAGGCTCCAAATCAGTGCAGGGTGATGAACCCCGATGGTGGCAGAAAGGTTTTCTCATAATAGGCTGGGATTTCCAGTACTGTCTTCCTCAAAGAACTCATGGCACTTACTGAATTTTGTCGTCTTTGACAATTAAAAATTTTACTTTTACATTTTTTAAAAGTAGATTTTATTTATTTAATTTTAGAAGGGGGGAAGGAAGGGAGAAAGAGAAGGAGAGAAACATCTATTGGATGCCTCTCCTACAAGTCCTGAACAGGGACTGAACCCACAACCCAGGCATGTGGCCTGACAGGGAACTGAACTGGCAACAATGCCCAACCAAGCCACACCAGTCATGAGTCCGGCCCATTTAGTAGAGAAAAAGACAAAGCATGAGGAGGCTTTGGCTTCTGACTCTGAGACCTGCAAAAATGACTTCTAACACCTCACAGAGCCATTTGAGAGTCAGATTTTCCGTGACCTTGACAGTGCAGGTGTCATACTTGTGGACAGATGAGAAAATTGAGACCCAGAGACAGGAAATAACTAGTCCTAGCCTCCACAGCTGGTTAGAAGTAGAGTCTGTGTCTCCTGATTCCTGATGTTCTGGGGTCTGCTGCATCCCTTCATGACCAAGATGGCATGAGCATTTATATTCAGCCTTAGGAGGCCTGTCTTAGGACTCCGCTGCCCTGTTGGGAACACAGGGTAACTGGGATTAAGGCAGGCAAACTGGTGATTCTAGGTTCTCCCTGCTTTCCTCCCAAATTTCCTGTTTTTCCAGCTGTGGATGGGGACCCACCCCCGGGGAGATGCCAAGATTCTTGACAATAGCATCTCACAGAAGACCTTAGGCCAGTGGATCGCTGAGAACCAGGACTGCTTGGGCTCAAAGGTCAAGGACAGCTTTAATGGCACGTTGCCCTTCCTCTTCAAAGTGCTCTCAGTTGGAACAGCCCTCTCCATCCAGGCACACCCTAACAAGGTACAGGGTCAGAGTGTGGTACAATCAGGGTAGAGAAGAGCTTATGTTAGGGCCTGCTTAAGACTTACTGCTGCTTTTACCCCACCCATGCCAAGCTTTAGCTCAAAGCTAAATCTAGGCCTGACAACTCCTGGTTTAGCTAGGTAAGGCCAGGTACTCATGACACTTGCTGGCAGCTAATTCTAAGTGAACAGCAGACCAGCTTGTGCCAGGGGAATTTCTCCGAGCTTTTTCTGAGCTCTCTCCACCCAGCCCAGGACAGTTCATATCTGACATTTACCCACTTGGCTCTCTGGGAGAGTTTGCCATTCAGGGCAGGGCAGGTACCCTAGCTGTTGCCTCAGCTTCACCTCCAGAGAGCTTTGTGCAGCAAGCCCATGAGTCACATCATAAGCATTTGTCTTCATTTCTAGATGGGCAAAGTAAGACCTAGAGAAGTGAGGGATTTACCCAAAGTCATACAGCTTGTAGTGGCAGAGTGTGGCCTAGTGTTTGGGTTTTCTGCTTCACAGTCAAGGTCTCTTAAAGTCTGCCCCAGTCTCACCAGATTTGGTGCATGTCCCTGCTCTGGGTTGGCTGAACCTGGAGTTTCTGCACTATGCTTTTGACTGGGCTTGTTGCCAGAAGTAAGAAGCTACTGCTATCTGGTAACTGGGGAGGGGAGGGAGCAAGGCCTGGGTGGGATCGGTGTCCTGCTAGGTGATGGCTGCACTTTGACCATCCTCTTCCCCTGGCCATCCCACAGGAGCTGGCAGAGAAGCTGCACCTCCAGGCTCCACAGCACTACCCTGATGCCAACCATAAGCCAGAAATGGCCATTGCCCTCACTTCCTTTCAGGGCTTATGTGGCTTCCGGCCAGTTGAGGAAATTGTGACTTTTCTGACAAGTAAGGTTGGGCAAAATGCTGAGAGCATGCATATTGGGCCTAGGATGCATGGGCATCCCAGGATAGAGCTGGAACTGTGGCCAGGAACAGACAGAATGTTACAGGAACTGAAGGGCTGGTTGGCCTTATGAATTCTTGAAGCCACTGGGACAATCCCATGAGACCAGGCTCAAGTGGTGTTGCAGAGGGCTAGTGGTGAACAGTCAGTTTTCACTGCAAAGTTTGCTTAGCATTGCCTGACTCCTTGGTTAGGGATGGGGTGGGTAGGCCTTCTGCAGCTTCTCACTTATATAGGTACCATTTTGCCATTTTTTTTTTTAAAGATTTTATTTATTTATATTTAGACAGAGGGAAAGGGAGGGAGAAAGAGAGGGAGAGGAACATCAGTGTGGGGTTGCCTCTCGCATGCTCCCTACTGGGAACCTGGCCCACAACCCAAGCATGTGCCCTGACTGGGAATCGAACCAGTGACCCTTTGGTTCACAGGCTGGTGCTCAACCCACTGAGCCACACCAGTCAGGCCATTTTGCCATTTCTGATATGGGCCCTGGCCTGGCCTTCCTGCAGAAGTGCCTGAGTTCCAGTTCCTAATTGGAGATGATGCGACAACACAGCTGAAGCAGAGCCTGAGCCAGAACTCCCAGGCTGTGTCCTCTGCTCTGCAGAGCTGTTTCTCTCACCTAATGAAAAGTGAGAAGAAGGTGGTGGTGGAACAGCTGAACCTCTTGGTGAAGCGTATCTCCCAGCAAGGTAGGTGTCATTGTAGGCCTGGGGGGAACATCCTGTCCTAGGCCCTGACACTAGGCAGTGGGGCACAGGGCTCTCAACTGCTTTGTCAAGTGCAGCACTAAAACAGGTCTGACTTAGATAGCCTGTTGGTGACAGTCTTTGTGAAGCAGGCCCCTCAGTTGAATGATGCTTCCTAACTGGCCATCTTCTCTAGATGGCTGGAGACAGATTGACCTGGAAGACAATTAGGATGTTTTTGACCAGGCAGTGAAGCATTGAGATTTCCCCCCAGCCCTACAGCTGCCACCATTGGATGGATTTGTACGTTGTGGCTAGGTGGCAGGAAGACGAAAGGGCCTCCTCCCTCCCCTCCATTGGTCTGATGTCCAGAGTTCTCACTCAGTAGATAGTAAATACCTGCTCTGTCCCCAACCTTGTGCTAACTAAGGAGAGTTCAGGAAATGACTGCGGTGGGTGTGGTCACCTTTGGTTTGAAAAATCAGTATAGTGAAAAACAAGGCAGAATGGACTCTTAAACTATGAGCTTATGTGGCACATGTGAGGAGGCCCCAGCTCCTTCTCCAGGTGACTCCAAAACTCTCCTGGCTCTGTCTCTACACATTTCCCCTGTTACCTTTGAGCCACAGGAACTATCCTACTCAGGCCTACCCTATGTTTTGTTTTTTGGTGTTTTCTCTGCTTGCATGCCTGTCCTATCCTACTCAGGCCTACCCTATGTTTTGTTTTTTGGTGTTTTCTCTGCTTGCATGCCTGTCCTATCCTACTCAGGCCTACCCTATGTTTTGTTTTTTGGTGTTTTCTCTGCTTGCATGCCTGTCCATTTAGGGATTCTTGCACTCACAGAACTGATTCCTCCTGCCTAGAGATCCTGTGGCACCAGTGAATTTATATCATGTGTACACATAGGCCTTGGACCTGTCTCCTTGACCTTTGTGTGTGTGCCCAGTGCTTAGCACAGAGTAGGCATTCAGCTGTCTGTATGAACCCAGAACCACCCTCTAATCCAGACCAGCTGGTTTCTTTATTGTGGCACTGTCACGCCCTACTTTTACTTACAAATACTCTCCCTCCAATGAATTCAAGACATGTCAGCTCCCTGCCCACTGCCCCAATCCCCACCCATTTCCAAGAAGCCTTCACCGACCACTCTAGCCCCAGTTGAGCTCACCCTCCCCTGGTCAGTCTGCAAGGACACCTTTTGGCCCCATGGTGCATTCTTCCTCATGCTATCTGGGTGACCACCTTCACAGGTAGCCTGGGATTGAGTAAATTTCTGAGATGCAGTACTTTCAGTGCTAAAAAAAGGAAAGACATAGGCTGGGATACACAGAACTCTTGGATTATCTCTTAAGATTTTGAGCTCCTAGAGCATTGGTTCTCAACTAGGGGACACTGTCAATTGTCTAGAGACACTTTTGGTTGTCAAAACCTGGGTTGGCGTGCTAGTGGTATCTTGAGGATAGAGGTGCTAAAAATCCTACAATGCACAGGACAGACCCCGCAACAATTACCTGGCCTAAAATGTCAGTAGTGCCAAGGTTGAGCAACACTGTCCTAAAAAACCCCAAAACATTCTAGCTCTTTCAGTGCCTAGTGTAGGGCTGGGCATATAGATGGTCAAATGAGAAAAATGGTATCTGGACAGGCTGGAATATCAAGGAATACTGGTCTCCAAGAGGCTGGGCATATGGTTGGGAAAATTTGCCCACCAGTGTCTAGATTCCTGTGGATAGGGACTTCTCCAGGACTCCCTAGCTAAGGTGGGGCTGTGTATGGCAGTGAATATCACTAAGTGACCTTGGGGTACTCTGACCCTCAGTGGCAGTTGGTAACAATGTGGAAGACATCTGTGGGGAGCTTCTGCTGCAGCTGCACCAGCAATATCCAGGTGATATTGGATGCTTTGCCATATACTTCCTGAACCTGCTTATCCTGAAGCCAGGGGAAGCCATGTTTCTGGAGGCCAATGTACCCCACGCCTACCTGGAAGGAGGTGAGCCACATTTCAGCAGTAAGCCCCACTGCATCCCTTTTGGGCCTTGTTTCCCCATCTAGACAACGGGGAGAGGGTGGTCAAGGAGACCTTTAAGGTCCCATCCAGCTCTCACCCACGAGGGTTCTGGGAGTCAGCAGGGCAGCAGCCAGTTGGGGTGATGAGTGCCAGGTTAGTGTCAGACACTGCTAACATCTTCTCACTGACTATACAAGGTCATGATACTCTCATATTAAACCCTGTTGATGTATGGGAACCACAGTTTGAACCTAGGCTATACCTGGGTCAAGACTGTTCTCTCTGCCCTCACTGGGTGGCTCAGTTGGTTAGACCATCTTCCTGATGCACCAAGGTTGCAGGTTTTGATCCCTGGTCAGGGCACATATAGGAATCAACCAATGCATGCATAAGTAAGTGGAACAACAAATTGATGTCCCTCTAAAAATCATTAAATTAAAAACAAAAAACCACCTAATGGCAGCTGTTCTCCTCCCTGCATCACACTGCCTTCTTCATTATGTCCTATCAATCCAGAGGTTTTACGTTAAAATACATGTTGCCGCAGAAAGGTGCTACATTTTGACTGTTGGCCATTTATCCACACATGGACAGGATTTTGTGGGAGAATTAGAGTGTGAGGAGGGTTGGGTGTTCCTCCAAGGGTGCACATGACTGCCCCTGACAATAGTGGGTGACCTGTTATGTTTTTGGCATCTCTTAGCTCATTCTCCCAGAGAATGCAATTCTAAGCACGGGGTTTGTGGCGCTCAAGTTAGAAGAACCAGCCTTGGAGAGCCTAACTCCAAGGCATCCTCTTTAGCTTAGCACGTGACAATTCTCTACCCCCAGACTGCGTGGAATGCATGGCGTGTTCAGATAACACAGTACGTGCTGGCCTGACACCCAAGTTTATCGATGTGCCAACTCTGTGTGAAATGCTCAGCTATACCCCCAGCCCCAGCAAGGACAGGCTCTTTCCTCCAACACGGAGTCAGGAAGACCCCTACCTTTCTATCTATGACCCCCCTGTGCCAGACTTCACTGTTATGAAGATAGAGGTGAGTAGGGGGCAATGGTGGGCCTTTTTTGTGGGGCATGAAAATCCCTGACAAAGGCCACAATGTGTATTGTACCTGGGCTGGGTCTCCTTTCTGTGAAGCTCATTTGGTGAGAGATGGCTACAAGGCCTGCCTACTCCTTTCTGTGCCAGGGACCAGATGTACGCCTCCATGCTGTCAGAATCTGAGCAATGGAAGATAAGGCAGCAGAGCACTTCCTCTCGTTGCCCTTGCTGTTCTACACCTGTGAGCTGTAGGAGCGGAGTCTAAGCTGCACCATTCTTTTGTTTCTTCCCGCTCAGGTCCCGGGCTCAGTCACTGAGTATAAGATCTTGGCACTGGACTCCGCCAGCATCCTCCTGATGGTGCGGGGTATGGTGACAGCCAGCACTCCCACAGCCCAAGCAGTAACCCCCCTGCAGCGTGGTGGGGTACTCTTCATTGGGGCCAATGAGAGTGTCTCACTGAAGCTCACTATGCCCGAGGATCTGCTGATATTCCGTGCCTGCTGTCTGCTGTAGAGGCTGTCTCCATACTGGCTCTCCTTCCTAGTAACCTGAAATCCTGACCAGCCTTTCCTCCTTAGGCCCAGCCCAAACTCACCCCTGCTCTAAACTCTGAGGTAGTGACTCCTGAGCAGGCCTAGGCTGAACCATCTTCCTAGGAGGGGGGGGACCCATGTGAGGGTTAAGAACCAACACTCCACTTATATTCTCACACCTGAACCAGACTCCACACAGGAGAGCAGCTGTTTTCACTACAGTGTTAGGCTGGTAAAAATCTATGATAAGACTCAGGTAGAGCAAAAGGGTAGGTAACCAATTTCTTTATTGATTTGAGAGAGAAACATTGATTTGTTGTTCCATTTATTTATGCGTTCAGTGGCTGATTCTTGTGTGTATCCTGACCGGGGATCAAACCTGCATCCTTGATTTATCAGGACAATGCTCTAACCAACCTATACCCAGGCAGGACCTTACGTAACTGATTTCTAGGAACAGGGTTCTGGCCTTGGGACTGCCCATTTCCTCAGCAGCTGAGAGGAAGTGAAAAGGGAGGCTGGTGGGCCAGTGTTGCTCCTCATCACCCTCTTGCTTTGTCAAAGCAATTGAAGATCTTGTGTTGAGGCTGTGGGGTAAGAGGCACTGAGCCTTTGGCTGTCTAGTCCCTGAAATGGGTAGGCCAGACTTCAGAGCCCTTTTGTAGGAAGGGGTGGGAGCAGAGGCCAGCTACAATCTCCGATGTAGAGAGCTTGCAGGCAGGCACTGGGCCCTCCAGATCTGCAGAAAGGAAAGTGGGTCTAAAGAGCAAGATTCTCCTGGGTTAGAAAAGGCCTTTGGGCAAGGAACAGCACCTAAGGCCAGCAGGCTGGGTTTGGCCACACCTACTATTTACATAACTGCCTTTCCTGCTCTCAGGTTACAAAGTTGTGTAGATGGTGCCAGACTGGCCCTTCACAGACGAAGTTTGCCAGCCACTTCTCCAGAACACATTCAGTCATTGTAGATACAGCGACATGACAATTCATCTTGTGAAGGGTAACTTTTTCTAAACTGGCAGGAAGTACCTAGGAGAGCATATACTCTCCCTGAGCCTACCCTCTCAGATGTGACATACTTCTTCAGGAGGTTACAGAGCTGTTTCACCACTTAAGATTCTGATCAACAGTCTTAGATCTTACCACCCCAGACTAAGCAGGGGCCCAGGCTATTGGTTCCTTCTTGGGGGGTGGTAAGGGTTTAGATTCTCACAAAACTGAATTCTAGGAAACTACATTCAAAGAAAGTCCTGGCCCTGGCTGGTGTGGCGCAGTGGCCTACGAAACAGGGTTGCCAGTTCGTCTCCCAGTTAGGCACGTGCCTAGGTTGCAGGCAAGGTCCCCAATAGGGAAAGTGGGTCTAAGAGGCAATCACACATTGGTGTTTCTCTCCCTCCCTTACCCTATCTAAAAATAATAAAATCTTTAAAAAAGAAAAAAGTTCTGGACAATCTGTTCTGGGGTTTTTATTGGCCCCCAAATTTCCTTAACTAAAAATAAGTAATAATCACCTAGGAAGACAGGGTCTGCTAAGGGGAGCTCATTCTAAAGAGAAGTGATGTGCAAAGACTGATTCCACCTATGGCCTCCAGTGAGGCAGGCCTGAAAATCATGTCCATTGTCAACAGGAAAAAGAAGAGGAGGTCCTACAAGGAATGGTTACAGCTGGGGCTATTAGGCTACTTCTTCATTTCAGAATTCGTAAGGGACAATGACTGCAGCCTGGGCTTTTCTGAAAAATGCTATTACAACAGAGAGAGCTCAACCAGTGTGACTATTTATTATAAACTTACAGAGCTTATAAGAACCCCAGAGCTTATAAGAAGTTTAAGCCAGGGGTTCTGTAGAGTACTCTGTAAATACCATACAGAACCACTCCCACCTGTGAAGTAAGCCGAACTATAGCCTTCTCCCCAGGGGTCACCTGTAGAACATCCAGCACTCTCAGTGAAGGCAGATTGGCTCTGGGCACGTTGGTGCCTTTTGGTGATATGTTAGCCTCTGGCCCCAAACAACTGACCATTTTTATTCTGTCTCACTGCACACTGTGCCCCATTTCCAGTTCCTGCAACTTTTCCCACAAAGGTAATCCCTTCCACTCAGGGTGAACCAGCTCTGGAACATCCTCTCAGAGACTGTTGCAGCCAAATACCCTAGTACTGACTGACTGCAACAATCACCTGGAGGGCCTTAGTCATGGGATCCTGTTGCTACCTTCACCCCCAGCTTCTGTCAAATGCTTAGGCTACTCTGTCCACTGTATTAACCAACTCCCCAACAGAAAACTGCCCCACACTTGGCTGTCACAGCACTTTCTGGCCTTCACTGGGTTTCCTGTTACCACTGTTTTCTTTTACATGGTCCTACACCTGAGCCTTCTGCATGTGTTTCTCTACCCCTGCACAAACCAGAAAGGCCTGGATATAGTCTCTGTGGATGGGGAAGGGGTTCAAGATGGAGATGTCCTCACTCCTCGCAAGCATCTGAACAAAGTGCTCAGAATGGGTGACACCTGTGTAGAGTTGCAGAGCCCCATTCCAGAAGAGAATAACCATCTCCCTCCCCTACCCAGACCCCAACATCCCTGTCCTATCTCCTTCCTGCCATGACACCGCTAGATTGGAGAATAAAAGTTAGCTACAGCCCTTGGGACACTGTATTCTTCTTAGCTCTCTGAGACTTGAGAAAAGGGCCAAGATAGATGTCAAACAAGCACTAATAGGATTATCCTCAAGAGCACAGTCATATACCTTTTTATCTGAAATTCTCTTGTCTTCCAGTCAGCTGGTAGTAGTAGAACAAGAGAATCCATGCCATCCCTCATATACTCCTAGTGGTCATAGGATGTCAAATGAGTCAACAAACCAGGCACCTTCCCATGTGGTGCCCACATTCCAATCCCGACTATCATGCTCCTTAGGCTGGGAACACTGTCCTCACCATGGTTCTAGGTAAGGCAAAACACAGAAACATTGTAAAACTAAATTCTAGGGAGAGGTGTGGTCTAGCAAGGGTCATGGGGATTATGCCATCTTTGCTGTGTTCACATGGGGGTTGAGAGAGGCTCTGTTGCACCAAGAGGTTCACTGTAAAAAGTCCACTCCTAAGTATCCACTGTGAGGTACATGCTGTGATCAGAGGAATCTCGAGAGCTGGACACAATGGGATGGCCACCACTAGAGTGAAGGGAGGCCCTCTGCAACGGCAGATTATCTCCTCAGGCAGGGATTTTGGGAGCTGATACAGGTCTCTACTCCCCATCCTGTCTGTGAGCCTCCATCTAGTCAGAGCCCATAGCGAGTTTACTTCTCACCCTTTGCTACTTCTCCACTTTAAAAGGTTAACTGGAAGGCACCTGAATGCTCCCCGCAACTCTCAGCTGGTATAACCAAAATCTGTAGACAGGCTTCTGGGCCAACAGCTCAAAATCTGGGTGGAGAAACTAGCAAAGACCAAGCAGAAGACTGGCAACCAAGTTAAGACATACAAGTATGTACATAATGGAGCAGTTTCTCTCTAATTAGGCTCACCACAAGTCACTAAACCTATGCAGCTGGATCAGTTGGGGATGCTCTCGGTCCAGGGATTCTAGAAGCCTATGTCATCAAGCAAACTACTGTCCTCCCTCCAATAGTCAGGCACAACCAGAAGAGGGCCAAAGGGCTCTGCTTTATGCCCTCTTGAAGGGCAAACATCTTGGAGCTAGGAAGAGGAGGAGAGCTTAAGGAACTTCTTGAACTGGTCCCACATAGTTAAATTTTTTTTCCCAAAGATTCCTAGCTTCGAGGCACGAAGTGCTATTTTCTGCCTCACCATCAAGCACAACCTGGACAGAAAAGCTTTTTTTTCCCCTCCAAAGAGCATGACTACACATACCAGTCAAGATGTCTTCAAATGTTTTTCTTAGCCAACTTTGTCACTTACTGTAAGAGCCAGAATTCCTGTATTCCTACCCTTATTAAAGTGTTTTCACTAAACTCTGCTCCAACAGCAGAGGAAAACTGCAGAATTCCACGTATCACCCTATCACCCAGATGGGGGCCTCTGGCCTGAGCAGCACCAGGTAAGGAGCAACTGCAGGTCACTGACTTCCTGGAAGGTCAGTACCTCAAGTGATTCTGGGGCTGACGGCAGTTCCCACTGCACTCTGTTTTCCTATGAAGAACCAAAAGGGGCCTGCAGGCATGACAAGCAGGGCCCATTTTAGGGGGTTATGTCTACTGGAGGGTACAAGAGAAAGAGTCCCCAAGACAGCACCAGGAGCAGGAGCACGTTGAGGAGGCCATAGGCTTGGGGGGAATGAGGTCCAGGTCCTCATCATCTGGAATCTCATCCAGGTGATACCCATCCTGGAGCAGCTGGCGGCTCACATCCTGGTTCACCTGCTAAGAGCAGGAGAGAAAACTATAAGCCAAGCTGCAAAGCAGAAATAACTGCTGCCCAAAATGCAGACCCACCTTCCCTTACCAGAGAGCTTCCTGTCAATGCTCCACCCTCAGGTCAATCCCACACATGCCTGGACTACAGGCGGAAGTGCCAGCTTTTCCTACCTGTGCCCCAGCCAGCGGTGAGGGGCATCCAGGGCTCTCAGCCAGTACTGTCCAGGCTGCACAGTCACAAACCCCCCGAGGAGCTACTTTCACTAAAGAATACTAAGGAATCTCATGTAAATACCAGATTCTAGATTATGTTTGATAATCATTCCCACTGGTAACCCTGATTGGTCCTCATGATGTCTGGATAATATGGGACGATGACACCAGAACGATGGGGTAAAATAGTAAAGGAACATAAATACAGAACAGGGTGGATAACAGCTTTGTCTGCAATGATGGTTAGACATACTGTCCTTTGAGGCCAGCAGAACTCGTTTCCTGCAAAGTGGAGTCTGTCAGCCTGGCTTTACCAGTTCTGCTGAGCAGAAGGAAAGTCAAACTGGGAACAGTGCATGGCTTACTCTGGGTCCTGGCTAATTTTTATTTTCTTAGTTTGAACAATCTGAGGCACCCAGATATTCAAGGAGGATACAATGTACAAACTGCCTCTATTTCTTGGACAGAAACTTGGAGGTAGCCAACAGTTTCTAGGAGAAAAAGCAAGAAATACCAGCGGTGTACAGTCATGTTACTTCACTTCTATAACAGGCAGTAAACTGCACATGCCAGAACTCTACGTCCCTTGTTTCTGTCTGGGACAATAACTCTGGAAACATATCCAAAGGCCAGCCCAAGAGTACCTCAGTCTGAATTCCTATAGATGGAACAGAAGTTGTTTGGCCTGGAAGAAAGCAAGCTTGGTAGAAGATGGCCAGAGGAGGGAGAAATGCTAATCCCCGATATAAGATAATCAAAAGAAGGAAGACTAGAATTACTGTGTGACACTGGAGGGCATGCCTAGGACCACCGAGTCCAGGCTGCAGGAGACATTTCAAATTAATGAGGGAGACTCACCTCTAAGAGCTACCCGAAGAAGAAATTATCCATATGTCTTAGGGGGAGGACAGGCAGCAATGTTTCTTGGAGGTAGTGAGTATCTGATTACAAGAAGCCAACAGAGGCTAGTAAACACGTAGCTGTGATTTATATAGAGAGTTCCTTCTCTCAGTGGTAGCATGGACTAAAAAATTTGTGAGATCATTTCCAGCCCTATGAGTGTATGGTTTCCTGGACTTTCAACTGCCCTCCTCAGACACCTATACCTCTGTTGTGGGAAGAGGGCAGAGTACAAGACTGGAGAACCAACCGGAAGTCTGGTACAGTGCTATGCATACAGCAAGCACTAGACAAGGATTTGGCAGTGGTGGTGACACTGCCTGATGCATGGCCCCGCGCAGGAAGGCACTCTGGACTTGCCTCTGCAGAGGAATACCCGGAAGAGTATCTGGATTCCAGCTCCCCATCACTAGAAGAGGAAGACAGTCAATTCAGGGGGATGCCTGTGGAGCACAGCTGCAAATGGCAAGGTGGAGAGCATGCAAGGGGGTCTATAGGACTTAAGATTCTCCCAGACAAGGCTGATACTCCAAATCCAAGAGCAGCATGAATCCTCTAAGTCCGCTAAGCAAGCCATCTTGGTAAGGGATAGTGCTCCAAAGAAGACAGCCCTGGAACATGCACGAAGCATTTTGGAAGACATAAGGAACTAGCAAAGGTACCAAGCAATCTACAGTTTACCCAAGTCACTCCCCAAGGGGTATTATTACCAAGGAAAGCACTCACCTGTCAGAGTTGAGGGACACCAAGTTTTCATCTGGACTCTGACTAAGAGCAGTATAGCCCTTGTTAAACTTCACTGACCTGGGGGAAGATGAGGGAAGAAATCAATCATAGATAAAAGCACCAGCATTTACAGGGAAAGCCAGAATCCACGCCCTTATGGAATAAGAACTGACTGCACTACTCCTGACTTGCCTTCGACTTGGTCACACAGCCACTACTGCCAGGCATGTATCTCGCTACAACTCCTCGGAATATGCACTTCCCCACTGCCCCTACTGCTTCCAAGGAAAAGCCAAACTTTTATCACTCAGGAAAATTCTCCACCACCAGCCACCGTATTTAACTAGAGAAAAGAAAAACCACAAGTCCTCATACAAATCTCTTCACCCGAGTTTCAGCTTCTATCTCTAAGAGGTATTGAATAAGGTCCTATCCAACCCTGAGTTTACCACTCTGTTTTAAAAAATATATACATCGTTGGCTCTTCCCACACTGCTCTCCAACATCACTCCTGGGGACCCAGCCGACATGCTCCTCCCTAACTTCGTGAATGATTCTAAGCCCTGACAAAACTCCTTGTTTTCCAAAGCCCTTGCCCTGACACCATCACGTTATTAAAAGGTGGGGTGGGGAAGGTCGTTACTCTTCCTATTTTAAAATAGTGAACCTGACAGGTTGACGTCAGGGGAATCCCTAGCTGATCCTTAAACCTGAGTTCCCTGTCTTCCTGCCAGGGGACTATGGGAAAGTGTTTGCACAGAGGAGGTGGAGCCGGCTTGACACCTTTTCCCTGAAGAATCGGGGCGGTTCGGCGAGGCCCCCAGCATGCCTTTTTTTCGCAAAACAGCCTTGGCCAGGTCCCGGTGCTTCTCTGCAAATCAAAGAGGCCCAAGTAAGCGGGGTCTTCCCCACTCCGCCAGGTCTCCCAAACGCTAGGCACCCGCTCTTGTCGAACAGATTTTCAGGTACAGGAGCGGGCTGCAGGTGCCTCTCCGTGGTCTCCCCAGCGGAACTCTGGAGCCCGCCCGGGGGCCGCGGCAGCCCGCCCAGGCAGAGCCAACCCATCCGGCCGCACTCACGTAGCTTGGTCTGAATGGAAGGCACGCGCATCACCATGTACGGCCCCCGCTTCTCCACAGCTGCTGGGGACCGTTCTCCCAGTCGGAGGACTCCGCGGCCGCTTCGCCCGGAGAGCGGGCCCGCAGCTCGTGCCACGTGGCCTGGGGCCCCGCCGGGCCGGGGTCCCGAGATAGAGGTACCTGCAGTGTGCCGCCCTGGCTCCCCGGTCGCCATGGCCTGGCCACGCCCCACCTAGTGGCTACCGAGCAATAGTCTAAGAGCGCGTTGAACAAGATAGCGGCGCGCAGGCGCGGTCCGTACACAAGGAGCTTCCGGCCACGCCTACTGAGGGCGTGGCACCGCCTTTCCGTTCTTCCGGGGGCGGGGCAGTTCCAGTCACTCCTTCCTGGAGCGTTGCGGTACTTGTGATCGGTCAGGATCGGGCCTTGCAGAAGCCAACTGTCTCTAGTCAAAATCAAATGTTGATATTTATGGAGGGTCCGGGTGTGCCCCGCAGGTCCTATCGCCACAACCGGAGCTCCCCAAGGGCGGACCCAGGAGAGCGTGGATTGAAGCAAAAAGAACTGTACGAGAAAGGGCGGTGTTAGCGCTCTTCAGGAAAGGAAACAAGCCCAGGAGAGGTTCAAGGACTTTGTGGAGGTCACATAACTAGAGGCAGTGCCTGGGCTGATGGAACTGACGCGAAAACCACGTTACAGGAGTAACAACGAGCTTCAAAAATTAAATTGAACCATGTTTAAGTTGAACGTAGTGGTGTCTGAGACGTTGGACGAGGCCAGACCCTCTGTAGGCCTCAGTTTCCACATTTTAAAATGGAACTAATGTCACTATCCCTCATACAGCGAGCAACAAACAAGGGTAAAATAGGATGTAGAAAGAAGGGTGAAAGTGCGCAGTGAATCTGTGTGTAGTAGGTAAGGCACGGAGCTGTCATGGCTCATGACTTCTCTGGTCCCAAGGAATGTGATTGTAGTTGGCTGGAAAGAACGTCCAGATCATTGTAGAAACTGCCAAATCTCGTGAGGATGTTCAGAGGCTAATGCAACTTAAAAAAAAAAAAAAAAAAGCATTTGTAGAGGAGAACGGAGAGAGAAAGAAATGTCAACATGTGAGAGAGCGATTGGTTGCCCCTCACACTCCCCCCAACGGGGGACCTGGACCACAACCCAGGTACGTGACAGGGAATGCAACCGGCAACCCTTGGGTTTGAGGGAGGATGCCTAACCCACTGAGCGACACCAGTCAAGGTAGCTAATCCAACTTCTGACCCCGTAGGGCTGCACGAACATTTGGATTGGACTATGCCTTACACAGCATAGGATAAAAGAATTTAGAGCTGGTGTTTTGTTGTTGTTGTTGTGTTTGTTTTTTTTTTTTAAATTACAGACACAAAGGAATGCTTCTTTGTTAGATTCCACCTCTGTTTTGACCCCTAGAAACAGTGGTTCAACTTAATATTTATTCCTGACCTCCCAATGAAACTGATTGTTACTCCTGTTATGCAATGAGGCTTAGACTTGGTCAGATCCACTAGGTTAAAACAAACAAACAAAAAAATCACTAGGAAAGTGGTAAACTAGGAATTTGAACTCAGCTCCCTGTGGACTCCAAAGAAATGGCTTTTCTCATGGCTATACTATCTGTTAAGCTGATGGGACCTCACCAAAGACCAAGGAAAATGTCATCAAAATCCACTTGCCACTACATTTGCAGGAACTTGTAGCAAAAAAAAGAGTCTGAGTGCCCTCGTCTGTGCTCCTCCCGAATCTTTCATCGTTAAGGTGCAGTTCATTGCTGTATGATTGAACATGGACCCTAAATCCAGATTATTTGCTCTACCACTTACTGGCAAATTATTTAACCTCCTTATGTCTCAGTTTCTTTAGCTGAGAAGTGGGGATCATGATAGTATCTATCTAATAGTATTGTGAAATTAAATTGTCAAGTACATAGGAATGGCACTTGGTGCTCAAGAAATGTAACCTTACAAAGGTTACACAGTGTTCTAAGTACTTAGTGTTTATTCTCTCACTTGGCTTTATGCTCCCCAAGTGCAGACTGCCTTACTCGTTTTGTATCCCTTATTCTTAGCACAGTCACAGTAACACATATATCTTGAATGAATGCCCTATTTTGCCCTTTTAATTTTTAGTTTATATATTTAGAATCATAGAACTTTGGGACTGGGAGGGATCTGAGAAATTACCTAGTCCAAACTCATTTTATTAATGAAGAAATTATGATTGTCCAATTGGCCTGGTTATGGACAGTTTTCTTTTCCATTTAAGATACTATGTTTGCTGGGAATCTAAGAAAAAATAAATTACTCCCTACTCCCCAAAACAAACCACAAAGAGTAAAACCTAGGTGGAAGGAGATGAGTATCCAAGACACTGCCCCTGTATACAGAGCACAAAAGCCCCAATTTCTCACGCTATCTACTCAGACCCTAACCCAGAGTGACTTTGCTGACACCCCTGCTGGACTGGGGATCCTCAGCTCCTCCATTTAGCAAAGCTTTATTTATCTAAGGCATAGCAGGTGCTATGCCAGGCCCTACAGATCAAATGATGAACAGGACAGGTAAGGCACCCCCTAATTTTTTGTTTGTTTTTTACTTTTCATGATTGATTTTATTGTGTTTTTCTTCCATTACCATTTAGTCTCCTTATACCCACCTACCCCTAGTAATCACCAAACTGTTGTCCATGTCCATGAGTCCTTTTCCCCTTTTGCTCAATCCCTCCACCCTCTAAACTCTACCACCCCTTAGCTGTCATCCTGCTCTCTCTCTATGATCCTGTCTCTGTTTTGCTTGTTAGTTCAATTTGTTAATTAGATTTCACACATGAGTGAAATCATATGGTATTTGTCTTTTCTTACTGGCTTATTTCACTTAGCATACTGTCTCAAAGGGTAAAATTTTCTTTTTTACAGCCAAGTAGTATTCCATTGTGTAAATGTCCCATATTTGTTTTATCCACTCATTTACTGGTAGACACTTGGGCTGCTTGCATGTCTTGGTGATTGCAAATAATGCTGTAATGAGCATAGGGGTGCTTATGTTCTTTCAAATTAGTGTTTTGGGTTCCTTCGGATATATTCCCAGGAGTGGGATCACTGAGTCAAAAGGCAGATCCATTTTTAATTTTTTGAGGTATTTCTATACTGCTTTCCCCAGTGACTGCACCTGTCTGCATTCCCACCAACAGTGCAAAAGGGTTCTCCTTTCCCCACATCCTTGCCAGCACTTGTTTGATGATTTATTGGTGGTAGCCTTTCTGACAGGTATGACGTATCTCATTGTGGTTTTAATTTGCATTTCTATGATGATCAGTGATGCTGAACATCTTTTCATATGTCTGTTGGCCATCTGTTTGTCCTCTTTGGAGAGGCACCTCCTACTCAGTTGTACTTTGTTGCTGGGGGTGGGGCAAGTGGGGTAGGTAGGGTAGAGGGAAATTCTTGGCTGTTAGGAACAAAGACTTCCACCCTGATTTCAGGCTCTCCTGTCCCCACTGGGCAGTCACATCCTTTATTCTTAGCTCCAGTTCATGACAATCCCACCCATTCCCTAACCTTTCTGCAGTCCTGGGACAGATGAATCTTCATCATCAGTTGAGAATTCTGGTTCTGCTGTCTACTGGTAAGTATCTGTGATTAGGCATAGGAAGGGATGGGGTACAGTGGTAAATTTTTTTATTGAGGTACACTTGACATAAAACATTATATTAGTTTCAAATGTACAACATAAGAATTCTGACTTCCAGCCAAGATAGATACATAGATACATAGATACACTTTGCCTCCTCACACAACCAAAAGAAGGAAAACAACAAATTTAAAAACAAAACATAACCAGAACTTCCCCAAAATCAAACTGTATAGAAGTCTGACAACCAAAGACCTAAAGAAGAAACATTCCTTCAGACCAGTAGGAGGGGTGGAAACAGGCATTCGGGGCAGAGAGGATGCACAGCAAGGTGGTGGTTGGAGGACCAGGCAGGCAAGGCGGTGGCTGGTGGACTGGTCGATCCCCCATTTGCAGGCAGATAAACCAGGAGGAACAGCTGGGGAGTGAGACAGACTGCACAACCCAGGGTTCTAGCGCAGGAAAAGAAAGTCCCAAAACCTCTGGCTGTAATAATCTGTGGGGGGTTGCAGAAAAGGGAGAAACTCTCAGTCTCACAGGAGTGTTCATTGGAGAGACGCACCGGGGCCTAGACGGTACACAAACCCACCCACGTGGTAATCAGCACCAGAGGGACCCAATTTGCTTCTAGGTAGCAGAGGAAGTGGCTGAAAGCCCTATGAGAGCCAAGCAAGCAGCATTGTTTCCTCCCAGACCCCTTCCACACATGCAGCATTTCAATGCAGTGACCTGGGTTGCCCCGCACTGATGAATACCTAAGCCTCTGCCTCTTCCAATGAAAAAGGCGCACGGAGACAAAGAAATATGGTGCAGATGAAAGAACAGATCAAAACTCCCAAAAATAGAACTAAGTGATGAAGAGATAACGAACCTACCAGAATCACAGTTCAAAACTCTGGTCATCAGGATGCTCACAGAAATGGTTGAGTATGATCGCAAAATGGAGGAAGAAGTGAGAGCTGTGCAAAGTGAATTAAAGAAAAATATACAGGGAACCAACAGTAAAGGGAAGTAAACTGAGACTCAAATCAATGATTTGGAGCAAAAGGAAGAGATAAACATTCAACCAGAACAGAATGAAGAAACAAGAATTCAAAAAAATGAGGAGAGGCTTAGGAACCTCTGGGACAACTTGAAACGATCCAACATCTGAATCATAGGGGTGCCAGAAGGAGAAGAGGGAGAGCAAGATATTGAAAGCTTATTTGAAAAAATAGTGAAGGAGAACTTACCCAGTCTGGCAAAGGAAATAGACTTCCTGGAGATCCAGGAAGCTCAGAGAGTGCCAAAGAAATTGGACCCAAGGAAGTACACACCAAGGCACATCGTAATTACTTTACCCAAGATTAAAGATAAGGAGAGAATTTTTTAAAGAGTTTATTTATTTCATTTTAGAGAGAGTGGAAAGGGAGGAGAAAGAGAAGGAGAGAAACATCAGTGTGTGGTTGCCTCTTGCATGTCTCCCACTGGGGACCCGGCCCGCAACCCAGGCATGAGCCCCAACCAGGAATCAAACTGGCAACCCTTTGCTTCGCAGTCTGGCACTCAATCCACTAAGCCACACAAGCCAGAGCTAAAGATAAGGAGAGAATCTTAAAAGCAG